TGTGCTGGGAACCTGGACGTCAGCACCGGTCTCCATGGTGTCTCTGTTACCACACATGTTACTGGAGGTGCCCATGATTAGCTAATTTCACCTTTTCACTTGTCTATGGCTGGTATGTTCAACAGCTCAAAAGGACTACAGACACAAGGGAGGCTGGCAACCTAGAATACACTAGGATGGGGTCAGATTATTGGATTCATTAATAAGGGAAGTTTAGACATATTCCACCCAGGGATGAAATCATTCACCAGTTATGTTGGTAAGAATTACAGTAGGTAAGAAGAAACCTGACTGTCTTCTGATTTAGATGTTTTTTCTGGTCATTGGACTTAGGGGTGACATCCTAATGACAAATTAACCTGCATGGGGAGTTTGTGGGAAAAGGTCAGACCTGAGGCCTATCCAAGAAGCTATCCATAGCCACAAGGATGAAAGTTGATCCAACAAAACAGGTGAGATCTCTGATGAAATGAATCAATATGTGGGACCAGGGTTTGTGGGATATAGATAAAGGTTCTGGGAGTCCAAAGGACAGCTTTGAGATGACATAAATTAGACCCATTCAGGAAAGGCATTGACAAACAGGGTCAGGTCTAAGTTAAACAAGGACCACCATAGATTTCCTATATCAAAGAGTGTGCAACAGAAATATGGGGTGATGAGAATTAGAATTAGAGTGAATCCATTGTAACAAGGCATTCCATTGTAGGAACATATAGCTCTTGGCCTAGGTCTAAAGCCTAAGGTCCTTGAGGAACCGGTTCCAACTGTGGGCCTCATAATGGCTAAAAGCCTTTTCACCATTTTTAGCTTGAACTTTAGGTACAAAAAGCTGACCAGCTCCCAAAGATCTAAGAGACTAACCTGGTTTGTATTCTTTACGCATATCAGTGATATATTTTTAGCCTAAGTCATTCAGCTTTATAAACCAATAAAAGTACTTTAAAATCAATCGTAATAGTGCAGTGATTTTGAGATAGGAGTAATATGTTCTTGTTAGAATTCTAACAGCAGCGTTTTGAATGAGTTGCAGCTGTGTAATGGTCCTTTTGGGAAGGCCAGTCAGGAGAGCGTTGCAAAAGTTCACCCTACTGGAAGGCCATGAATAAATTTCTCCAAGTCTGGCTTGGAAATGAAGCAAGGCCTAAGAATTGATCCCTGTGAGACTCTGTAGCCACAGTCATGTTCCCCAAAGAGCAAGCAAACTGTTTCCAGAGGTCCTGCCTTTGACGGGGTGGTGAAAAATATCAGAAAAATGTTTATTAATGGTTGATATGGAACTGGTAATAGGACCCCACACTTCCCTTGTTAGTAATGATATGATGAACACAATCCAAGTGGCAACATTAGGAAGAATGGTGGGCTGATTTGTGAAATACCAGGCAGACCCACAAGCACTAGAACTTCTTGTTTAGCTAATCACTGCCTCATGACTTTAACTAAGCTGTGAGCTGGTACCCCGAAAGAGAGGTTTGGGAAGCAGAGATATGGTCATTTAGCTATCCAATAGGATAACAGTCATTCTTGGAGAGCATAAAAAATCTTCTTATTTTTCTTATTGTATTCCATATTCTCATGTTATACCGCCTGCAAGTAAACACATACAGCCCCGTTAATAATTTTTCATGGCCTTGCAATGAATTGTATAAGACCCTTCTCTTAAAACCTGCAATGCACCACAGGCTGCTATTCCCTGACTGCAGCTGGCTTGACAATCTTATCAGGAGTGTTAGATAAATAATACACTCCTTCCCCCTGACATGTACCTGCTTTGTTTGAGACATGGATAGGCTTAGTCCAGATATATGTAGAAGAAAAGGGTGTGTGTTGTGTGTTAGGCGAAAGGCATTCTCAAGTATTTCACAGAATTGTAAGAAACCTCCTGAAACATGTCAGTACATAATATTTTACATTCCTCCATTCGGAGGAGATATGAGGTAACAAGCCATCCGACATCATCATTAGCTACACCTACAGTCAGCTCAAGAATGAATGGCATCAATCATGAAAAGGTACAAAATTAATTTAATAAAATTAGCACTAATAAACATTCTAACTGACACAAAAAACTTTTATTTTAACACAAATTTTCAAGAGGAAACTAGGTTTCAGAATCAGAATTTTAATCAAGTTTATTTAGCGAAGTGTGTTCACAAAATTTGTCTCTGGTTGTCAGTGGCTCTCTGCCATTGGGTGACGATATCCGGGTGCTTGGTGGAATTCATTATGATATTGATCTTAAAAAGGACACAAGGCAACAAAACAGCAGTCAAAGCATCGGTAATCCCCATCAGATTTATTGCGAACATTAGGTGCTTTTCCTGGTATGCAGTCCTCTTTTGGCATAGTCATAGTGTGCACGGTCAAAGTGATTGATTTTAGTTTCATCTGACCAAAGCATCTAATTCAATTTGCATTTCCAATGATGCGTAACAAACGTCAGGTGCTGCAATATGTGAGTTCTAATATATGAGTGCTACTAAGGATTTCATTGGTGCCAAACTTCCAAAGGGCTCCTTGACTTGCAAGTAGAGTATAACAGTTGGTTTTGAAGATATTTCTTAGCCTCCCTCATAATCTTCTTCACTGTGCATGAGGGAAATATAGACATTGATTGTCTTCTTGGTAAATTTTTAGACTTCTTAAAATTTTTGTATCAGTGTCCTGTTGGTGATTAGTGTTTCTTATTTCTTATTTTTAATATAAGTTACCTGATCTGTGTATGCCTGCAGCTGTCTTTTTTTTCTCATATTTACACTATAGGGACACGGGAACTGGTGAAAAGCAGGGAACTAAGAACAACTAAACAGAACCGAGTTCCACTAAAAGATTATTTTGTTTGGTTTCATTTTGCTGATACTTTTGAAACCCATGCTTTGCAGAAATGTACCACTCAAAATATGTGTTAGAAAAATTATTGCGTTAAAAGACATGTATATGGCTGTCATAAACACTTGCCCAGAACATTCGTTTTTGCATGCTGTCCCTGTAGTACACGGACTTGCCCCAGATACGGTTTCCTCTGGCAGTCTGAAGGCACACAGTTAGCCTGGTGTCTCTATGTAATGTTTTGCAGTTACATTTTAGTTTCTCACCCTTCTTTTTTGTTTAGATTGTCATGCTCCCACAAACTTATTATTTTTTCTTTTGTTAACTTTTTACCAACTGTAGTGACTCAACCACCGTTAGCAAGAAAATGTGCTTACGTTTGAGTTTTGCTTGTTCCCGTGTTAATAATAATAAATATATTTAAAACCCAAGTAGCATGATACATACTTAGGGGGGGCAAGGGGGGGGGTACATGCATCTTGTCACGTGGGTCACTGCCCCCCACCCCCCAGATCCGCCACTGATGGTCTGACATCGCATACAGGTTATACAGCGATAGGCTCATGACCCTGAGCTAGATGAGTGGTTAGAAAACACATGGATTGATTTTTACTCATTTTTATGAAGGGTGACTGTTTATTTGACTGTAGCTTGGAGCAGCTTTTGCCTCCTGACCTGCTGTAAGAGTAGAGGAGTTATGCATTCAGAAAAGCCATTCTGTACATCACTGCTAGACTGAGCTGGTATTTTTGCCCTTGTGACCTTCCTGTTAGCTTTAATTAGTCTGCCCATTCTCCTCTGACCTCTCTCGTTAATTAAGTGTTTTCTGTCACAGAAATGCCATTGTGCATGAAAATGACAGCACAGTAGCTGTTTCTGAGATGCTGGAATCACGTCTGGCACCGACAGTCACATCATGTTCAGAATTGCTTAGATCGAGTGTCTTAGCAATTCTAATGCTTAGTCAAACAGTAAATGAACCGCATGACCCTGACTGTGTGTTGTGTATATTCAGCTGCAGCCACAATATTCACTGTTTGGAGAATCAGGCAGGTTGATAAACTGGCCACTGTGGGTGTGTGTGTGTGTGTGTCATTATTCATTAATTATTTAACATATAACCTTTATGGTATTACAAAACTGTGGTATTATGTGGAGGAATGATTTATACATTTTTTTTCTTAGATGACCTGCTGATATGCTGACTATCAAAAATAAGGGAATAAATTCTGAATCTGGAGCTGAAATAGTTAATCTAAAAAGTGGCTGTATTTAGATGGTGTGCGAATGTGCAGCCAGTATCTCCTCTGTAAAGTGGAAGTGGGGTCTGAACGGATTAGCTAAGGGGCCTTGGTTACCGCAGCACATGGACTGATTCTCACGCTCGTCACTGGGGACCTGGTTGATGGTAGCATTATGTGTCTGTCTGGAGACTGTCTCTGACACCTTGTCAGAGAACTGTGATGCATTTTGACCCCGGGGGGCGGGGGGGGGGATGGGTGGGTCATGTTATGTGTTCTTCTCCAGTCAGAGCCATGTCACATAGGAGTTGGTATCTCCCCGATATGCTGACTGGGACACAGCTGTGCTCTTCTCATTTTGGTGGACAGTCCACATTGTAGCACGTATATTCGTTCTGTATAACACCACTGTGTGAACATTAAGCAGGCCAACAGATAAAATGGTGACCCTCTTTAACAGATGAAACGCAATCCTCACCTCGCGTCAATATGCTCTCATCAATATTTTTTTGGTACAGATAGATCTAGCAGACAACTGATATAGGTAATCAATGTTTTATCGGGCATTTAAGGTCACAGCAATAGTCTAGAATAAGGACTTGGAATCTGAAAAGCAGAGAAAAGGCATGAGGGTAAGAGGAGACACCCTGGATGAGTAATGTTCAGAATGTGTTGGCGTCACTGATTACACCCCTTGGGAGAGTTAAGTGCAGGATATTCTGTGAGTGCATTCTGTTAAACTTTAACAAAACCAAACTGAGTGAACCGTATTTTACCTAACGTTCGTCGTTCTAGGGTCCTCATCTAACACATACCAGGAATCAATAGGACTTTATTTAATAAAAGGCCACATAAGGACAAATCAAGCAGTGTCACTGTATTACTGTATGTACAATGCTGAACCTAGAAGAAAGGAGCAAAAAGTTTTTGTTACTTTAGCAGCTTTATTTAATGTTTAGTAGACTTTGATGAAAGGATACCAGATTACAAAGCATTAACTACAAAACAGGAGAGATTTATCATGCTTTCCCTACCTCAGACTCTCCATTCCCATTTTCCGCTATCAAAAAGGCATCTATAAGTCTCCTTTTTCAAGCATTTTATTCTGACTTCACTTCAGGCAGAATAGTAGCTGCCCAAAGACCAAAGTTATGATAACCTTGTGAAACGATGCCTGGACTAGGTGATGTCATTCTCTATTACTTTTCTTTGATCTCAAAGAGCATCCGTCTCCACCCATTCCCACTGCTCTCATTAATGGTAATCATGTCACTATAAAGAGAACATAAGAAGCAGGTCGTATCTGTGATATCCATGACAGAGCCTGACATCAGGAGGAGGTGAATGGGATGTGAAGGAAGAGAAAAGGTAAACTAATGAAGATGAGCAATTGGAGACATACCCTGCCTCTCAGGCATAGTCTAGCTTCCTTGTTTGTCTTTCTGAAACCAAGACCTTCAAAAGCACCCACTGGTGCCCCTCACCCCCCTTAGCTCCTGGCCCTCTCCACCTGAGGAGACAGCAGAATTTGGCTTGTCCCCATGGGTGACAGGGATGTTGCGGTGGGACTCTGCTGCCATGAAGACCTTGGGTGCACAGACTGTCAGGTGTCCATTGTAAGACAGTGTCCAAGAGATGGCTGACTGCTCCACATTGAGGGGCAGGTGGTAGCAGCGATGGAACTCCCGGCAGATGAACCCATGGTCATCCTTGGTCAGGAAGTTATGGTTAAACCAAAGACAGGAAAAAAAGAGCAGTAGAATAAGTGAAAAATAGATAACAATGTAATGTGACAAAGGACAATCTGGGAATTAAAAACACAGATGCACAATTTGCCATTGACTTCTCAACCCTAGCCAGTGGCTGTATGAGACTTGATACATCATAAATAGGTAAATGCTGTAATTGTTGTCTGCATTTTTTTTTAGGCCTTAAATTACAGTTTTTCATTAAAGCAGTAAGAAATAAGCAAGCATTCAACATCCAGAATGCCCTATAATATTAATGTTCATTTCTAATGTACCCTTGACCCACTTTTTAAACTGCACATTGAGGTTTTCAATTGACTTCAATTCAGTACACCATTAATTCACCAAAGTAAACCTGCTGTCTGAGATGGAAATTCTAAATATCACACCCTCTGCAGTCTACAGTTTGCACACAAATGAGAGAAAGTTGCAGTCAAAATTGCAGTTTGACTGCACCCCTAAGGATTTATTGTGAGAAAAGTACTGCTGGATTGAACATAATTATATTTAATGTGAGCTCCTAAATATTATCCATTGTCTAGAGAAGCAATGATATATCTTCACCAGTATCCAGCTATATAGCACTGAGAGGGTAGAAATGGGGATTCTTTCCTAAAAGCAATTAAACAATTAATGACAAATTTTACTACATAGTTTATAAGGGGTTTAGAGTCCAGGTCTGCATACAGTAAATATCTGCAGGGTGTCCATGTCTTTATTGGAAATGTGAACTTGATTTTTTATGAAGAATGGAAAACACTCATCCATCTTCTAGAAGCTTGTCCTAGGCATCGTCATAGGGGATGGCGCACACTAGCCCAGGCTGTAGGTTTGTGTTAGGTTTAGGGTTAGGGTTAGGGTTAACCCTAACCCTAATCCTAACCCAAACCCCCTCCTCCCCCCCAAACAGGACACCATTTCATCACAGGACACATATACAAAAATACTATGAGAAATACAGAGATGCCAACTAATTTTGGACTGCAAGGGTGAAATCTAAGTATCCAGAGAGAATCCATGGAGGGAATGTGCCAGTTCAACATGCACAAAGCAGAGGTAGGCTTTATGCCGCTAGCCGAGGAAGCGATGAGGCTGTGTCCACTGGGCCACTGTGGCAGGAGAAAGTTCTCAGGCTTCTCATTAATACTGCGCACAATTATCACTTCCAAACTACTCCATACTTCAGTCTTTCTTGCTGCCTTCACAATAGACTAGAGCAGTGTTTCCCAGTGTGGTCCTCAAGGACCAATTGCCAGTCCATGTTTTTGCTCCTATCGGGAGCTGGGGGGGAGCAAAAAATGTGGACTGTCCGGCAGGAAGCTAGGAGGGAGCAAAAACATGGACTGACTGAGGCCTGGATTGGGAAACACTAGTGTTAAATGGCACCTAAATATACAGACTGGTGTCTTTTTGTTGTATTTTAACTTTAAAATAAAAAGGGAAAAGCTGGCTGATGGACTTAATAATGGCTGTCCGCACAGGGTTCAGCATGCGGCTATGCTGGACATATTATCCTATGCTGAAAGGTTAGTCATGATATACCAGGCCTCCAACTTACTGTTATGAATAAAACCCACTGTCCAATATGAAGGATTAGCAGAAACAATTGTTGCCTGTGTGTTTTAAGTCATCATGATTATGAAGCAAAAAAAATTAAAATTGAAGTGAAAGACATTACCTGAGATTTTACAGCTGGCGTCACTGATTACCTTGTACGGTACAAAATCCAGTTACTAGTGACAGAGCTTTCATTGTGCTCGATTCCCGCCTGCGGAGGAGTCATTCGCGTGGTTGGTAATTTGCGTCTTTGGGAGTTCCTATGTCAGGTTTTATTTGCTTCCAGGCACAGCCCTAGCATGCTGGTCCAGAGGTCACGGCCATGACGACAATACTTCCCGTGAAATATTTACCCTTCTACAGACTCCCCCATGAGATGGTCTGTAACACACATGCACACACACACTGTACACTCTTAAGAAATCAAGGTCAGAGTACATATGGAACACTTCAAAGATATCCTGGAGAAAACAGAACATACTGTATCTGAATGTGGTCCTTTTGGAAATTCAGCCGACAAAATAAACCCTATTCCAAACCGCTCTGGTCCTGCATAAACGTCCATCGGCAGGGCAACATTTTGCCTGAAGTGCCGAATGTAAGAACGTCCTTCTCACTGCAGGCATGACTCAGACCTAAGTCCAGGGACAAACAGCCATTTCCCGGATGCCTCATATGTGAAGATCATTTTAAATCTCTGAGAATGTCAGAAGGCCTTAATTTCATAAACGGGTGAGAAACCGCAACACTCATCCTCCCCAGGGGTCGTGACGAGTTGGCTTCTTACCCGCCGCTCAGCGTGCTTGCCCTTTACCTCCAAACAGCCATCCTCCACCCTGACACTCAGCTCCTCGGGGGAGAAATGCTTCACGTCCAGGCAGACTGTGAACTTGTCCCCGTCAGACCTCACCTGTACAGAGAAGAAATGGTCCATGCATGTTTTTTTTATTTGAAATCTGAACAATTATTTAAAACATCGGTAATTATGGTGAATATACAAATACTTTATAGAATTTTTATACATATTTGACCTAATCTGATCCATCAATTTCTTCTTTCTGTCTGTACCTTATGCTATGGACTACCTAATGCATTTTTTCCACATAACCATAATTTACATTACATATCAACATTACATATTGATTATTTATTTATAATTTCTTAGAATTTATTGTATTTGTATATATTTTATGTGCACCTGGTTAGATGTAAACTGCATTTCATTGGCTCTGTACCTGTACTCAGCACAATAACAATAAAGATGAACCTAATCTTACATAATCTAATCTAAAAATCTAGATGCAGCAATTGGATAAGATGATATGAAGGGGCTAAGACAGGGGTGGCCAATCTGATCCGCAAAGGGCCGCTGTGTATGCGGGTTTTCACCCTAATTATATTACTAATTAGAGGACTGGTTGGCTGAGGAGTCCTCACACCTGGGTTTGAACAGCTGACCTAAAGGTTACCCCCAAAAACCAGCACACACACCGGCCCTTTGCGAATAAGATTGGCCACCGCTGGGCTAAAACAATGATGCCATTCTCATTCATTACACCATCAGGTGTCTTCTGGCTATAGAATTTTTTTTTTGTTTGTTTACTTTTACCTACAGTTAAGTTTTACTAATATAATTTTCCCCCCATAAGCCAACAATATCACTGCCTAAACTGAAACATGATACATAAATACCGAAAAGCACCAACAAATAAACAATGCATAATTGTGCCATTTCACTTAACTTAGCAATGACAAACACAGGCAATGGAAAACATGCCTCCACCCGCTTCATACTGTAGTTCAATGGAGCTCTCTCATAAAGTGGTCCTTCATGTACTAAACTCATTATGATAAGATTTTCAATAACACTAAATCCCATAGTGACATGAGGGAAAATTATTTAAGGATGATGAACTTCATGAATATTAAGAAAACCGATTAATTAAAAACTAAATGAAACAACAGCAATACAAAGAATAACTATTGTTGCGCTATATGCTAAATCAGTGTTTCCCAACCCGGTCCTTGGGGACCCCGAGACAGTCCAAGTTTTTGCTCCTTCGCAGCTCTGTGCAAGACAGACTACATTTTTGGGAGCAGGGAGGGAGCAAAAACTGGGGGTCCCCGAGGACTAGGTTGGGAAACACTGGGCTAAATAACCCAATTTCCTGCTGATATGAATAGAAATCTGCTTTCGTACCTCAGAGATTCCAGAATTGAAGGACTCCAGATTCTGGAAGAATGTATGTCTATAGTATGGGCTGATGGTGGAGGAGGAGAACGGGAAGAGGTCATAATCAAAGAGGCCCTCTCTGAAGAATTGGTCAAAAAGATAGAAGGGGCTCAGGGCACGGTGGAACCAGGGGCTCTGGATTGCGATTTCCATGGTGTTCGGCTTTAGCTTGGCTCTGCACGCTAGTGTTTCTGGAGCAGAAATGACAAAGTAAATCGAGGTTCAGAGCACAGGAGAACAGGGCGGAGGGAACAAAACCTTGTCACAGTGTCCCACTACTCCTGCTGGCTGCTCTATATATACCTGCCCCACAGAATAAGCGGAATTAGCCTGGATTTCTCTGCAATGGCATCATCTCATGGCAAGACCATCCTGTCAGCAGAACAGGCAAGGCAGTGCCATGACCTGCCAGCTACAGTTGGCCTGGTAGAAGTAGGACCCAGTGCCAGAAAAAGCATCTGCCAAAACAAGCAGGGCGACAGGGATACTGACAGTGGCCAGTGGTGAGTGTGGTTGCTACCACTTTCAAGTCATGGAGTTAATGTGAATTTGTGAAGTAGGGCCTAGGGAAACAGGGGAGAACTCCAATGCACAAGCGTGCATGTGCACATGCTACAGACTGACTGTCCAGCTGGAAAATGCTTTTAATTGAGCTGAGTGTGGCAGGTCAAATTTCAATGTAGTAAATGGAAAAATTCAGAAAACAGCATATTTACACTTGGCAAAAGACATTACTTTAGTAAAACATAAATAATTACTTTCATTTTCATCAACTGTATTCAAGGGTATAGGAGAGAGTTTGATATTGAGGGCCAGCACAGCTATTAAATCAAATTAAACATTAGGGGGTAAATGTTCCCCCTTGCCCCAAACTGTGTTAATAAGTCAATTTTTTTGTATTTTACTCAAACAGTAACATTGCATGTTACAGCTGAATTACTTCTTCCTAGGTTGAAATGAAGGGAAATTTAATTCTTATTTTGCACAACTGAAATACTGCTACTTTTTATGTGTTTTTCACCTGTTTGACCACAGGACTGGGATCTCATTGTGGGACCACACAAGCGTAGGCCTTGTTGAAAAGGAAAAGTGGTTGCTGAGAAACTGGAAATGACCCTGCAGTGGAACTGGCCTCATGCTCTGTTTTTCCTTTCATCATAGTCATCAATCCCTCAATATGGATTCCGGATCCAGCTACATCAGTGGACGGCTGGCTCCTGGTAGACGCCAAACTCTTTCCCTTTGCCACAAGTGTGTTAAATGTCACATCAGCATAACCACCACAGTCCTCTTTATCGTCATGATAACAGACATGGGAAACAGGATGGGTGTGGAATGATTAAAGTGCATCGACTTATTAAGGTAGCAATAAATCATTTCAAAACTATTGGAAAAGAAGAGAAGATTACGGGGAGTAAACAGTGAGGGGTGAAGAGAGAGGCAGCAAAGAGGACACAGTCACAAATGTTCATGCCGGCCTGCTCCACGTTAGGGGTGGAAAATCTCACCATCTGGTAAAGTATAGGCCACAGAAATACAGGCGAAAACAGCTTAAACCAGGAACCATAATTCATCCTCATGAACCAACAGCTTTACATATCCATGGAGCAATGAACGCAGGCATCAGAAGCGAGGGAATTTCTAGTGGCCCTGAGCCAAGTCAAAAGTGGAAGGTCCTTCATCAAATGACATGACAAATTCCAATTTTATATTCTATTTAATTCCATTATGTATGGTTAAACTTCATTGATTATATTATGCATGACTCTGGTTCAAACAACATTAAGAAAAAGAACAACAACAACAACAATAATAATAATAATAATAATTGTTCTGTCAGAATGTTAGCCGCTTGTCAGTCAAAACAGGATACTATTGTACAATTTAAACAACCATTTTAAAAAGTAGAATGTGAAAATGGTGTGACAGTTTCCTCTGTTGATTCATGGTCTTTACGCCCATGTGTGCTGAGACCTAGGAGGTCATAAATAATGTGGCGTCACAGAGACAGTTGCTGCTATGGGCAGAGAGACTCTGCCCTACATTTGGGGCCTTCCTGAAGCTTGAGGCTATGGCCGCCTGCATGTTACTGCTCCCCTCTGTTCCACCTGCTCTTTAGCTAGCACAGGAGCATGATATGCATGTCACATAGTGCTATACACTCTATCGATTGGTAACTGAATCCAACTAGCCAGCAACCTCAAACCTATACACACATGTGGGATGTGGCCATTCAGCGCAGTCCATCCAAATGTGTTTAATGTGTAATATGATGCCCCTCAAAACAGTGTCACCATCCCACACACATTGGAGCAGATACTCATAACAAAGGTGTGTTTCCTCTTTCATGTGAATGCACAGCAATAGAGAAAAAGTTCTGTTATACACATGAGTTTATCGGGTTTGGGAAATGAGATTTTTACAATTCTCCTCACATCATATATACAGAGCTCCTCTGACTTGCACGACTGAGGACCTGGTGCCTTGCATGCTGGTCTGATGGCAGCTGTATTGATGTAATCCCCAAGGGTGTTTGCCAAGCTCTGCAAAGAGGCTTATGGAAAAACCCAACAGTGTGGCCTTTTTTCCAGTCCAGAGACCCCGGTGGCATTGCAAACAGGCCCAGCCAAAGTACAGAATGCACCAGGGGGATTGGTGCTAATCGGGGGCAAATGTAACAGGGGATAAGCCCAGACTAAACTTCTGCACAGTCATTGGGTTTGGGGGCACAGACGCCTGGCCGTGATTTTATTGATGGGCTGCCATCCACTGTGTCTTCCTGGGAGCTCATTTTAAACCATGCATGAAGTCACATCGACGCAAAACTCTGCTCATTTTAAAACATATGATGCAAAGCCTAAGCCAGTGGCCACAAAACATTAGAGTCCAGGCCTTGGGGGTGGCAGGGTGTGTCATCTCGCCAAAACTGTGCCTATTATTTTCTCTAATTGTCAATGCAGCTGTCATTAGGTCTTTGCAATGTACTCAGCAAAACCAGTAGAGCTAAGAGCAGACAAAATCGACATAAAGAGAAACTTTGTTAAGGTAACAGAACACTGATCATATCACTGCTTATAACAAAGCAGGCTCATGCTGTCTTTCTGCCAGCAAGAGCTATTTATCATGCTATTAAATCATTTTTAATACTTAGCATAAGATGTACATATTCTTCATTAATTGTTGACCATGCATCTTCTAAGCACGTATCCTGGTGAGGGTCACTGTGAGTCTGTTCCCCATGATTGGTAGACAGTACACATGCATTAAACTTAGATACAACAATTAGACTGACTGCATGTCTTTGGACTACAAGAGGAAACCAGAACAGCCAGTGAAAACCCATGAGAACAGGTAAACTCCACAAACAGGAAGGGAGTCAGACCCATAACTGCAGAGGTGCAAGAGAAAAAGGCTACCCACTGAGCCACCATGCAACTGCACAAACCACCCAACTGCAGCAAAAAGTCTCCAATCTTTATGATATACAGGAATTAAACAGACATATTTAAAGCATGAGTATGTACTAAAGCTTACGTTTTTTTGCAGTGTGTGGCTCTGTGGGTTAGAAATCTGCATATGTCCATCTACTTGCTACTGGTACATTCTATTATATTCTAGTTTAGGAAGAAGAAATTATGTGGTTGTAGCACCACCTTTTGGATAAATATTGGATAAACAAGTAATAATCTTCCAGCAGACTCGTTTCACATGGTTCCTAAGAATGTCCCTGTTTTGCTTCCACTACTGACATGTTCAAGCAAAGTCATGAGACCTGCAACTGGGTGAGTTGTTAGGGACCCAAGTATAACATTGAAATATTTTTTTATGTGGCTACAGCTTCTACTTTTTCTTAATAAAAACAAGAACTTAAAAATGTAATGAGTGTTTATATATGCCAAACCTGAGAGGGCTACAGAGCTCTGTTGTTAGGGGAATTAAGTGAAAGTAACTACTGGTTAAATGCAAAAAAATTTATTCAATGTATAGAGCATTCAAATGAGGCACAGGCAGAGTGATGGCTGGCAGAGAAAAGTTTGTAAATCACAAGCCTTCTTGAAAGGGGGGGTAGATTGGCATTAATAAAACCAAAATCCATCCAGTTTGATTCAATCACTTGTATCAAAAATATATCCATAAAACACAAGGTATCTCCTCGCAAATTAATACTATTAATGTAATAGTGGGTGGACTGGAATTATGGACAGTCCTGAGCGAGTAACCAGACTGCGGCGCCCCAGCTCTGCTCCTGGCCTAAGTGCTACGAATCATCAGTGCACTCGGACTGAGACCTCTCCCTCTTCTCCCGGGCGGTGACAAAATTGAGCAGGTCAATGGCGGTCACAACTCCAAATACCATCTGTTTAAGGCTTGAGGACCCGTCTGCCATGTCTGCTGGATGAGAGGGTAGGGACAGAGCAAGAAAGACAGATGTGCAAGAGAAAACACCATACTGTCCTCCTTCCATTTCTATCTATTTACTGCTAGTTTTGTACCATTCCCACTGTGCCAAATGGCAATGAAATACAATTATCCAGCAAGCAATGGGATAGCTGTCAAAGTACATGTTCACGGCTTATCAAATCCATTAAATCAATGGTTCCAAACAGCACTCCTCCAAATATATGAAGGTCAAACAGTTTCATTTAACCTTTTTACCTGAAGATATATTAGGGATTTAAAATACAGAGGTTAGTTGTAGGTCTAGTACTTGGTCTAATCGAATTCCGGAGATCCAACTCACATTGGATCTGCTCATGGACCACCAAAGCAAAGTGATCTGTCTCCAGAATCCGACACAGTTTCCCCAGGTTGTCAGTGAGCTTAATCTACAGAAGGAAGGCAAACAAGTATGATTATATGCTGCAAATAAAACCAAATATACACTCCCCCTGCCTCTCAACACCTGCTAAACAGTTACAGCGATGTCAGCTTACCAGTCAACAAGGAAACAAATTTGGGCATAAATTTCACCAATTTTCAAAAAATTTCATAAAATTGCTTTTTATAAAGCCTTGAAAATAAACTGAACTGCTCTCAAACATGACTATGTGCATAATGCTTGAAAAAAGTCTTGCAAAGTGTTTTGTACATGTATACCAAGTTTTCCCAGCATCTGTTTACTAGGTTAGTATGTAATTAATGGTAGTATGGGCTTGTGAGTTCAACTATGTACATACATGTCTATTAGGGCTTGGATTTCCAGTCCATGAACACAACTGTGTAAACCTGCCTTCCGTTTCAAATTGTTCAACACTTGAATTTTTTTTTCTTGTCTATACTGCCCTCTGCTGCTGGAAGATATTGGGCCATAGACAAGACCCCATATACTCACTTGTTTGAACTGCTTGTAGAGGACCTTGCTGACAGGGTCTGAAGGTTTCACCTTCCCGGCCAGCACAGAGGAGAGCATGTTCCCAAGAGTCACCATGCCTAGTATCAGACTAGGGGAAGAATTGGAGGATTTAGTATGTTTTACATTTCATTTATTTAACAAATGGTTTTATCTAAAGCAACACGTTTTTTGAGAAAGCAGGGTGAGATAGTTCCTGGAGCAATTGGGGGTTAAGGGCCTTGGTCAAGGGCCCAGTGGTGAAATCACTCTGCAGATACCTTCTAATCACAAGCACAGTGTCCTAACCTGCTGAACCACAGAACACCCCTAAAGTAGCTGTCTAAGCTCTTTCAGAGCTGTTTAATATGACCATTCGAGCAAATACTCAGATGCCCTTGCAACCTGACAACTGTAGCTTGTCCTTGGCAGAATACTTAATGACATGTGGCATGTAACAGGCCAGTGCACAAAGACATCAAAAAAACAGATCTGTCCAGGGTGACCATCTGAGAGACAGCCATGCTCTCCACGTCTATGCTTGCCAGACTCACCCAGATTCATCAACCACAGGTGCCTGGTCAAAGGCCTTCTCCTTCAGGATCTTGATTGTCTTCTGGCAGGTAACGGTGGGCAATACAGTTAAGGGGGCAGACAGGTTCAGGTTCTGCAGCTTCAGATTCCACCACCTATGAGGATGACATATTAGCACCAGCAGGTTTTGAGTTCTGCTCCATATATTCAGAAGTGGAGAGGTCACTTCACACAAAGCATTAAAAAAATGAACTAACATGGTAGCTCAATACCAAATTCAACTCAAAATCACAACTTCATTGGAGTGTATATCCATGGATTATAGAAAAAGATCAGTGCTGCATCTAAGAACTTCATCCTTCCATCATGTGTAAATTATCAAGGCAAGATCTTACCAGGGCTTGGACACCATGATATTTTCCTCCCTCAGGAAACCCTTCTGGAACATCCATTTGTCACTAAGGAATTTGGACCTGGAAAAGACAGGAAACTCAAGACTCAGCATTCCAGCAATAGCAAACTTCACTGAACATCCTGAACAGGCCTCTACTGTGCATATAGACGAGAAAACCGTGCATAAGCCTAAAAGGTTAAAACATTAAGGCCCATAATACATTACAAAGCTGGATTCAGTGTTGGGCTGAATCATAATGACATTGTGGCAGTGGCTGTAGATACATCAGGCAGTCGTAAACAAACACAGTGCCTATCACTAGGTTTTCCCATAATCCACTGCTCCTTACATGTAATTGCGGATAGAGTCGGGCAGGATGACCACACAGCGCTGTCCCTCCTTCAGCTCCTTCGCAGCCTTTACCGCTGCTACCATGGCAGATCCAGAGCTGCCCCCTGTTGGGATGTAGATAGACATGAGAAAACCTCAATACAAGAACCATTACCACTGTCCTGAAAATAAAATCCCTTTACTACAACAGAAGCCTTCAAAGCCAAAACTTATACCTTATACCTATGAACTCTAAAATGATTAATTCATTATCCTACTGTTCCACCACACCACAGCTGCCAATTAACCTTCATTCTTCCAGGCCCAAATTCAGCTGAGGTTCCTCAGTACAATGATGAGCAGCAGTTGGAGAACATACCACACAAAAGGCCCTCCTCTCTGATGAGCATACGAGACATGGCAAAGGACTCCTCATCATTGGATTTGATCCAGCCATCCACCACCTGACAGAGTTACATTGTTCATCTCAAAGTAAGAATCAGATTGTTATCTTCTGCTCATGTTATCAACACATGCAAATGTACCTTACTGCTGTATGCAGCTGTTCACTGGGATCAATAAAGTATATCTTATCTTAAGCTAAATGCACAAGAACATCATGCACCGTGTCTGGAGTGCTGGTTCCATAATTATTTCCATTCAAGTATTTTAACATTACCAGCAAGGAAAGGCTTGTTCATGATATTTTCTGTCGAAGAACTTACAGATCTGTCCAGAACAGTAGGAATGAAGTCATAGCCAATACCCTCCACTTCATACTGGGTCTTATCAGTCTTGTTCAGTTCCTCTGGTTCTGCCAGAATTGAACCCTCAGGGTCGACTCCAATAATCTGTAAAATATTCCCAAACAGGAAAATGTGTTAAAGTACCACATGCCTGAAAGATCAGCGTGCAACCCTACCTGTTACAGTATTTTTAACCCTGATCCAAACAATACATAATTACTACCATACCAAAGGTGACTTTTTGCACCTTGATCAGAGATTAATATGGGCACTATTTAATATTTAATAATCTGTGTATCTTCCATCTAAGGGAGATTGAAACAGACCAATAAAATGTGACAAACAGATTACATGGCAGCCGCCCCAACCTTGACATTTGGGCACTTCTCTTTGAGCTTGCGGGCAATGCCAGTGACGGTGCCTCCGGTGCCAGCTCCTGTCACCACCATGTCCACCTTTGCTGCAGAAGAACAAAACAGCATGTGCACAGTAAGTTTCACCAGTTTTAGGCTTAGGCATAGGCAGGCTGTTAAATGCAAGGTGGTACAATTATTTTTTGTGCCAAAAGAACGGTACCCAAATTTTTCCAGTGTCAAGTCAGATTTCTCTAAATTCACCTGCCCAGTGGTAGAGCTCAAAACTATGTAAACCACAGAAAGGCTGACAAGGTTAACATGGTAAGACCAGACATCTCTGAGAAGAAGGAAGAGGATGAGAACCACCGTCACACTGCTCCAGGATCTCCTCAGCTGTGGTGCTGTAGTGAGCCAGGGGGTTGCTGGGATTTCGGTACTGGTCCAGTATGTGAGCATTGGGGATCTCATTCTTCAGCCTCCAGGCAACACCCACGTGGGACTCGGGGGAGTCAAAGCGAGCACTGGTGGGTGTCCGCACAATCTCTGCGCCCAGGGCTCGCAGAACATCCACCTAAAAATGTAGACATTAATCTTACTTTAGGATAGGGCGTACATCATAAGCAATTCTAGGATTTGACCCATAGGGTAACTCAGTCCATTGAAAAAATATGGGACACCACCCATGATTAAATTTGATGCGAGGAGGGCGATCCCCACTCCATAGTTTGCCAAATTGGAGGTACCAAATCCGAACAAAAATCCTGGGAAAATCGCTAAATGATTTAAGAAAGATGTATTTTTCAGGGGGGCTGAGACAAAAAATTGGGGGGGGGGGGGGGTTAAGCCCCCCGTATAGGGTCTAAAATCGCCTATGATGTATGCATCACAGAGCACCATCAAACAGCGCATACAACAGCAGTGTGCCATAAAATTTATTGCAATTAACTTAATTAGAGATTAGCTTGTCCCTACTGACGTAAGCACAAAGCCTTGGTAATAGCCACTGGGGTGGCCAATTGATTTTATGGACAAAACTCCCACACCTTCTCCAGGCTCATTTTCTCAGGCATGACGATGATGCAGCGGTAGCCTTTGACAGCAGCTGCGAGGGCCAAGCCAATACCTAGAGCAAAGAGAAGGGTGACCATCCATAAAACAGGAAAGAAAAGCAGCTTCGTATACCAGCTCCTCCAGTATTAAAGTTCAAGTTGCTTCCCTGAAAAATAAAATGATTTGAACTTTCAATCACTAGACTACAAACCTGTTAATTCCTATACAAAATCCTGACTTTACCCAACAAATTGTAGAGCCAGCAAGATGGCACCGCATGGCAGAGCCCAGTAATGTCTGTAAATAACCCTTGCTTGTGTTAACGTCAATACTTGTCGTGTTCCCTTGCCTGTGTCTTGCACAAACCCTGTCCAACCCTTGTGTGTTTCGAATCATTATGAAAACTACCCACCATCTGTGTGCCTTACTGGTCGCCATCCTACCACCTTCCTTTTTCCCATTATGTGAGTTCGTTGGTTGTTAATGCATGTGTTAGTACTTTTAATGGCTTAATAAATGGGTGTATTATTCTATTAAAAAAGAAGCCTCCTCGTCTTTTGTCACCACTGCAATGCCTCAGTGTGCCAGACATTACAATATTGTAGCACTAGTGGAGTCTGAATATCCCAGCATGCCCTGCTTGTAGTTGTAAATAGCCCCATGTTGTTGTAGTTATGGTTATAATTGTATTTCCCTATTATCGCGCATGTGTTTGCTCATGGCTTGCATGAACCCAGTACGATCCTTGCATGTCTTTAGTGCGAGCTTGACCGTCTTGTGTCTGACTTCCTTGTGTTTCCCCATTGGGTTTAGGTTCGGTGCTCATTGGGTGCCTGTTACAGTCCTGATAATGACTATGATAAAGGGCGTGTTCTGTCCTGGCAAGCAAGTTTCCTCATCCTTCACTGCTATCGCAATGCCACGGTCTGCCTGGCACAACAATATGTATGCAGGTATTAAGCATTTATTGACATTTTTTTTATTAGAGGCTTTTACTCAAAGCAAAGCACAATTGAGAAGGCAGTGTCAGCCAGTCTCCTGAACAATAGGAAGTAAAGGACCCTGTTCAGGTGCTTGCTTAACAATAAAATCATTCTGCTGACTCTAGGATTTGAATCACAATTACAGCATGCAAACCCACCGCCATCTGCCTTTGAGTAAATACATTCAGTTCTCCACCCATGCTAATGCAACTTCCTTTTCTATATTGAGCGAGGTCATCACTATCATTTCAGATAATTCTGTCATCTGTTGAGGATGCTCTTCTGCCATACCAGTGTTCCCAGATGTGGGCTCAATGATGGTGTCCCCAGGTTTGAGGATCCCTTCCCTCTCAGCATCCTCCACCATGCGCAGACTGATCCTGTCCTTCACACTGCCGCCCGCATTGAAGAATTCGCACTTTGCCACTATGGAGGCAGCCACACAAACATATTCACGGGTTACACAGGAACCACAGCAGCATAGGCAAAGAAAAACATTCTTGCACCCTTTAGTCATTGAGCTTAGCTTTCTGCTGCACTTGATTTCATATTTTCATAAAACCAATTAAAAATGTTAATCTTTTTTTTCTTAAATGACAGGTGCATTGTGGAATGTTTGGGCCAGTTAACTAGTCATGGGCAAGTGTTTTGAGTTTGTTCACTTGACACAATTGACCTTAAGGGGTTCGATATGCTCTTGCAGGTAAGGTGCGTCTCCGCTGGTATACAGGAACTGAGCCATACCCAAGCTGTAACCACAAAGGTTCGCTTCAGTTTTCCAATGCAGTAGGGTCGGCTTGGTAAAGACGTTGGCAGGTTTGGAGAGCGACGGCAACATAAAACCGAAGAGATGCTTATTTACTGTTCACACATGTACATCATGATGTACTATGTGCTGATTTGTCTGTGAGAATCGGCGTCTTATTGTCGCGGTTCTGTATTTTCATGTTCCGAGTTATTGGGAATGCATCAATACATCACAATGTGTGATAGTACTAATAATGAATTTGTAGAATATACCTGATTTTCTTCAGATAATCCATGTATATTGATTCAAATCACCGGTATCTCTGTGCATTTCGACCAATCAGATGGTGGTAATGTGACCAGCTTCATTTGGTCACACTTTCTGGCCCGGATAATTTACAATGAAAAACTGTCAGTTTGCAATACGGCTCAGGTATGGCTTGGTTCTTGGTGGCAGTGGAAAAGCACCAGTAATGATCAAGCAATCCATATTCAACACCTAAGATAAAAGGTAGCTTATTACACAATTGGCAAATTATAGGCCTATATAAATTATTTCTTAGACTCAAGTGTAAACCAGTTCAAGAGCATCTCTAACCCACATTCCAGTGACTCAATTGCTTCACAGAAACAAGATCTGATTTGACAGTAAAGTTGTAAAACATTAATTGCTCAGCAATGGGAGGGTCTCTTAAAAACAGCATGTGTGGCATCTTAAGGCAAATATAGACAGGTTGACATTCTGTGTTCTGTGTGGGTAGGAGGACATACAACAATCCCACACCTTAAATTTCAGGTTAATCCCCACCTTTAACCTTCACCTGTTACCAATCACTGTTTCCCAAACAACTGGAAACATAATACAGTCACATTATGTCTGGGAACTTCTTCCAAAACATGTGACCTAAATCTGATTCCATAACAGAACCAATAGAACTTCTTGTTGCTTCAACATTAATTAATCAGTTACTTATGTACTTCAACCTTCTGCTACACATTATTTCTCTGGCTTGGTGCACAAGCTTCATTGACAGCATATTTGTAATGATGATCAATAACCAGTATTTAGAGCCAAAAACGTTTTAAATACAAGGTGATGTAGAAGTTTGCTATGCATACTATTCCTTTCAAGTAACTACAGAATAAAGAAATGTTTCTCAACCTGGTCCTCAGGTTCTCCAAAACAGGCCAGATTTTTACTTCCTCCCAGCTCTGGGTAGGAGCAAAAACATGGACTGTCTGTGAGCAGCAAAGAACTGGATTGAGAAAAACTGGCCTAAGGGACAGTGTCAGGGCTTTTGTTTTTGCAGAGTCAGCAAAAATGGGTTCATATTTTATATATTTTCATTTTTTATGTCCTCAGTTAAAACTATTTCAAATAGATAAATAACTTACCTTATGCACCTACAAGTCAGTTTTTAGAAATATGCTGCTGCTTGCTTGTCAAACAGACATCCTATTGAGAATATATGAGCTATTCTCCTGAGTTCATGACATTGGTATTTCAAGGAACATCTAGTGGTTAAGACTAAAGAATGGCTCAAGAATGAGCATTATGAATCTTACATTATAGTTAAATTCTATTTTTCTGCTTGATCCATGACAGACAGAAATCACTTACAAAGTTCACACTTGAGTCCAAAAGCCTTAGAGATCTTGTTGATGCGGACCAGGGGGGTGTCCCCAATTTTCCACAGAATATTGGGCAGGATGGTGGGAGCTTTTACCCTGAAAGTGGTGGGGGGGGGAGTACACGGTTACATGACATATGTATGCAGACAGAGGTGCAGATGAAAGAAATATACTTGTTGCATTCTACGAAGATCGCTATTGATTGAAACAGTGCATTTTATTTACCCGGTGTCTTTACAAACAGTGAAAAGTGATGTGACATTTGCTAGGAAACAGGAGGGAGAAAAGAAAGAAGAATATTGATGTAAACCTTTCAGGAAAGAAATGAGGGGACTCAGAGGCTAAGCTGCCCAATCTCCAAGTGCATTTGCTGGGAAGGTCAGGGCGGATCCACTTCCTTTCTGTTGCGTTATCCTCTCTGTTGGCGCTGACAGATGATGACCACATATTGTTTTCATCTTCATTAACTTGGATCTGACTGGCACTACTCTTGACCACAAGAGGGCAGTTGGGGGCAAGACTGCCACTTTCTTTGTTGGAGGGAACAGAAGGCATTGCTGTCCTGTGAAATAATCATTAGAATAAAGGTGATAACAGAAATACACATAACTAAAGAATGCAGTGCACACCACAGCCTTTGGATATCGAACTCTCTAAACCAAATATTTAACTTTCCCAATTATTTATTTCTTCAATCAAGCATCTAGATAAATGCCTAATATCCTACTGAGACCCGACCTATTCATTTATGTCCATTGTAGTAGACATTGTATTTTTGCATTTATTTTTTCACTGATGTTGGGAAATGTATTTATTCTTGTTGTGCACTAAAGAGGACATGATGTAAAATTAAAATAAGAATAAATTTTTAAAAATCTAAATTGTAAGATGTCTTATTTCCTCCAAAGACAAATAACCTACAATTGAAGGACATTTTTTTCCTTGGGTCTCAGGAGGATATAGGTACTAAAATCATACTGGTAGACTGTAAAAATAAATTAAACAAGTCAATTAGGTTTCATATCTATAGCCCACAATATTTCTTTTCTGTAATTCAGCTAACTGAATTACTATTTCCGAGTCTTATTTGACGGAAAATGCAATAACGAGTGTGTTACTGACTGCCGTTAAACAGTAACTACCATTTTCCTTTGACACCGTTTTTTTTTTTTTTACATTAATACTTCTGGCCATCAGGAATTAAGAAAAAAACGCCCAGGACCACAGTAATAACCATAGGTCACTTATTACACGGACACCTGAAGATAAGGAAAAGGTATCGGCCCACAGAGGGAGCACTTAACACATACCAGCCTGTTAGTTACTGTTTTGGGATTATCTAAATTCATTTGCTGCTCTTATGTAATGAAAACAAAATTCCTTATCTGTGCAGACACCGTATAAATCGTAATAGATCATGTTGCAATCTCTTCTGGTAACAAGTTCTCAAAGTTAACAATTCACCTGCTGGCCATGGGAAAAGCAGAACGGCTTGGCAATCGTCTCACATTGTAGTTTTGATCTACACCTACTTTTGGCTACGTCCCACCGTCCCAAACGCACAGATTCAATCAGCTTGACACTAGATTTGTCAGCGGCCAGACACGGTCTGTTGGCAGTATCTTTTCCACTGCTTGTAAATTTAAAACAGCATCAGTAGTCTCTAAGATACTACTGAGAAACGACGTAGACGCCAGCCACCACATTTTGTCATGATGAATGATGAACCTCAGTATGAATTAGCTATTTTTATTAATTTGATAAAAATAAATCTCGTTTATTCAGCATGCAGTATTTTAGAAATTACGCAACCAGTATAAAACACAATAAGTAACTGGGGTAAAAAAAAAAAAATCTTTATATGATTTACAGAGTCATATTTCACTTAATAATCTCATTGATACTTCACAGATTGTATGTATATAAAATACTGGTATCAAGATCTTTCTGATGACCTGAAGCAGTGAGTTGTAGTGCTTTTATAAATATATCGTGGTGTAGGAGAACTTAATGTACAAGAACCGTATAATTTAATAAAATAAAATCAAAATGTAAATCATGAAACGAACGCTTTACTATTGCTAGTAGCAATCACACTTGCTGGTTGTGTAAGATATTAAAATTAATTTAATTAAAGGTGTAATGAATCACTGTATTTGTGTGTTGCATCGGTGTAATGAATCACCGTATTTGCAACTGGTACGGAACACAAGGTAAAGTTGTATTCAAGTCCACTATTGTACTTTCGTCTAAATTAAGAATCAGGAATTTTTCGGGTAAAAGACAAAAACATACTGAGGTACTTTAACACGAGCAACTATTTAATATACTAAGTTCGGCGTTTAAATCATAGCACAAAGCTGCGGCCCATTTCAAGAAACCTGTATTTACTTTTATTAAACGACCACGTGGCTCATTCAGATGCTGTGTAGCAGGCGGCGGCAACTTAACTGAAGGGGTAACAAACCACCCGTTTCCTTAATTTATCAACATTACTGATATTAATATTTATGTCGGCTTTTGCGATGTTTGAGTACAATAATTTGTACTCTGGGATAGTTATTTAAAGCTACAGTACTGTTATGGACTGCGATACCTGAAACACACCGAGTATCTAAAATACCGATTTCGACCACTCATGATTGATATGATTCTCCCCTTACCTGCGACTCATACGGAATTGTAGCAAATCGGCTTCAAAGCCTGTGTTAAGTTCTCGTCTGATACAAAATAAGGAGACAGCCTTGGTTCTCAGACATTAAAGAAAGGAAACATTATCCAACCATCGGACGCGACTAATGGGCGGAGAGGATTTGATTGGTTCCCGTGTGGGCGTGCTTGCGGTCATTATCCAATCAGAGTTCCCTAACTTTTGCATATTTTTTTTTACCGTAACTCTAATGTTTTAACATCGGTTTATGTTATATGATTATGGTATCTAGAAACTTACACGCTTCGCCGGCTTTCCCAGTGTATGAAAGCCTGTATGTCTTTAAGTAACCCAAACTAGGGTCATATAAACTTTTAATCCCATTTTGAGTTATCTTTATCGTACAGATCTGTCACGTCGAGAATAACCAGATAACATGCCAACTTATGATCATTTTCCAATATATATTTGAAACGTTCTTGGTATATAGAAAACGAATTCACAAATCCAAAACCAGTACCAATTTATGAAGTATCTGTAAAACATTTTGAACAAAACCATGTTTTCCATACCCTGCCTCTGACACATCAAGGCAACTATATGTAGTTATTTTTAAAATGGGACAATCTGACCTCTGTACATGAGGCATGTATCAACCATATGTTAAAAAACCCTTTCCCCAAAAGCACAGGATTGGTTTTAAAACAATGTAACAATTTACCAAATTTTCTTTACAAAATCTCCACAATTTCCACAAAATCTCTTTGAATTTGTGTAAATTATACACAATTTCCATTTCTGCTTAAAACCAAGAGCCTCAGCTGTCTTTTGTAAAGTCTACTGCATAACATTCTATCAAAGGAGCAAACTGAACTCCAAATTCAAGCCACTTTTCAAAAGCATAACTTGAAGCTTTACAATTATTAGTATTTGAACATTAACTACTGAATAACAACTTGCTTATTTAACTTGCACCTGGGAACAAGTACAACAGAAAACTTGGGGCAAATTATTTCAGACAAACACATTTGGGGCATGATACATCCTAGACAAATAGACATTAGCTTTAGCTGGGAATGTAAATGGGGATAGCATAATTAGCTTTACCTTGTTTAGGTCATATTATGCTTGGTGAGAAAAGAGAGAATCACTAAGATTTTTCATTTTATTGAGAAACGAAACTTTATATACAAAAAAAACCCCCAAATATTTCACACATTTTTTGGGTGGCAGCGCTTTATGCAGGAGAAACACAGGAGAGGTTTGCAGTTGAACTCAGAACCGTCCTGATCTTTCACGGCCTCTTGAACTCCGCCTCTCATGACCCCGCCCCCCTCGGCCTCTGTCCCGAGAACGGGAGCAGCGATCATGGGAACGGGAGCGAGAACGGTGCTTGTGGGTAGGACCATACCAAACCAGTTCAAATTAATCCAATTTATATGAACTCATTTTAAAAAGTCTGTATTTTGATGAAGGAACATAAGAACATAAGAACATAAGAAATTTA